CCCTCCCCCGTTCATGCTCTGTCTCTCTCTGTCCCAAAAATAAATAAACGTTGAAAAAAAAAATTAAAAAATGAAAACATTATAACACATTGTTCTGAAAAGAGAAAAGAGCTTCATTCTGTCCTACTGATATCCAACATTGCAGACCAAAAAACAAACAAAACGAACAAACCAACAAAACCCCACAGAAATCTCATTCATTACAATAGCTGGGATTCACTGGCCTGGTTATTTGAATACTTTCATTTGGAAAGCCAGAAGAGTCACCTATATGTGATCTTCGACACAGCCATGATAAAACACAGGGATGGGAACTGGGGAGGATACCAGATGTCACGATGTCCCAGATGTCACGACCCCAGTCCTGACATAGATCAAGGATTCTTCATGAGCTCTGGAAGGCAGGGTCCCTGGGAGGGGAGACAGTGCATAAGACGTGGGGAGGAAGCATAGTCATTGTACAGGTCTCCTTGGGGTCCAAGAGAAAGGAGATGTACACAAAGGAGACCCAAGTGACCCAGACCTAAGAGAAGCCCATCCCCACACCATGAGGCCCCAGAAAACTCCACTCTGGAATTGGCCCACGTTCAGAACTCCCTGCTCCATTCAGCTCAGGTCCCGTCAGGCCATGCCACCAAGCCACCCCCTCCCCAAACATCTCTTCCCCCAAGATCACCCCTAACATCTGCAAGCCCCAGGGTAGGAGTAGATACAGAGCCCCCAAAGCATAAACTTGAATATTTAAAGGCTACAGATCAAACAAACAAAGTTTAAAATATGTTCCATCCTTCCATCCTGACAAACATCTCTTCGTGGTGACCTAAAATACTAGATTGGAATTTGGAATTCTCAGCCTGGTCTGGATGCTATACCCAAAAGTGGCAAGGGGCAAACCCAGCCTGGCTCCTAGCCCAAGCCTGGCCCCCTCCCCTTCCCACCTCCAGGTCTGCTCAGCACAAAGCGGGTGTCCATCCCAGCCTGCATGCCCGAGTTCCAGCTACAGACACCCAAACAACAACTCCTTGACCATCCCTCACACCAACCCAACCTCAAGACGGATGGCAGCCAACCCTGGAGGTTGGCTTAGGATCCTTTGGGCAGAAGTTCTAGAGTAGCAGGCCCCAGAGAGAGAGTTCTGAGAGAGGGGTGTGGGCTCAGGGTAAGCACATGCCCTTGGATTATGGACTCTTCCCCCTACGGAGGGGGGCATGGCCTAGAGGGCCACAGCTAGCTTCCCCGAAGCCCAATGCCCCAAACAGGGGCCCCTCTTGCCCAAATCTGAGGTCAGCACAGACTCTCTCTGGCTTTTCAATGTAGATTTCAAATCCTCAGGTCCAGCCCTCAAGGCATGAGGTCACAGAGCTCAGAAGACCTATCCTTTCGTGCAAAAGGGCACTGCTGAAGCCCAGAGAAGGCAAGCAACGTGTCCACACCTGCGCAGGGAACTCGCTTCCCGCAGGCTCCAGGCCCTGGTCTCCTGGCCTCCGCAGTCCCCAGCCACCCCTCCTGACGGAGGTTTGAAGGGCACCTTCTCCTCCCTTCTCCATTCGCTCCAGGCTTAGAGTGCTGACCTCACCGAACTCTGAGGGCAGTGGAGGCAGGGGAGGGAAGGCTGCTGTCTCAGGAGACCGGACTAACCAGGAGGGTCAGTTTGGACTGGCTTCCAGGCCAATCACAAAGAGAGCTGGCTGGGTGCCAACGACCACTGGCTCCCCTGGTGCACGGGCTCTGGAAAGAGGCCTCTCTGGGCCACGTGCGGAGACTTCTCCCAGGCCCGAGGAACTTTGCCGGCTGCCTTCCCAGCCACAGGCTGTCGCAGACGGACAGCCAGCAGCCAGTGGTGTGCTGGGACTGACTCCTACAGGTGGGCCACACGTATCCCCTCTCAGCTCTCCAGGAGGCCACCCTGGCACCTTGAAAAGGGAGTGGGCAACTGCTGTAAATGGGGGATTTTTTTTAAGTTCATTTATTGTGAGAGAGAGAGCATGAGCCGGGAAGGGGCAGAGAAAGAGGGAGAGAGAATCCCAAGCAGGCTCTGCACTGTCAGCATGGAGCCCGGCACGGGGCTCAAAGCCACGAACCGTGAGATCATGACCTAAGCTGAAGTCAACAGCAGGACGCTTCATCAACTGAGCCCCCCGGGCGCCCCAGGGATTTTTTTCTTTTTTTTAACAAAGAGCTGATTATCAAACATTTGCCGGCGTATCATTCCACAAATGTGTAGATATGGTGTGTGCATATAGGTTCACTCATGCACACCTTCAAGACGCAACCCTACCCCCCCACACACACACAGCACGTGAGCCTATGTGTGTCCACATACGTATTTTTATGGGCGTGTGCACACACACGGCACGCGCTTCTGGAATTAGAACCACTCACACAAACATATTCGTTCGGTCTGTCAGGTTTATTGACCACGTCCACTCTACCAGTCCTTGATCTTGGTCCCGAGCGGACAGACAAGGACAGGTACTTTCCCGCAGGAAGCCTAAGTTATCTGTCTTACCACAGCAAACTGGCATTTATAGAGAGCCTACAATACGCCTGACACTATCAAATCATGTATCATCGCAGTCCTGTGAAGCAGGTGTTACTACCCCCTTTACAGATATGGAAACTGAGGCCCAGAGAGGCAGAAAGGTATGCGGGTTAAGAAGGTAGGTCCTGGATTCTCACTGCCAGGTTCAAGCCACTGCCAGGCTCTAGACACTTACTCTCAGCCTAACCTCGGGCAAATTACCTATGAGTCCGTTTCCTCATCTGTAAAAGGAAAATAATAATAACAGCACCTATCTGATAAGATTGCTAGGTGGCATAAATGAATTAAAAGCATTAGAACAGTGCCTGATACCTATAAACACTTACATAAGTGAACACTCAAAAAAATGTAGCCATGGCACAAAGAGATACCACAGTGTGACAGAGCACAGGGTCAAACATCGGGGTCTCTGGGTCCAGAGTCCTACACCACACCGACTACTCTGTCCTGTCTGCATCATCCACACACACAAAAGCACACAGAGTCGCAGGTGCCTTAATGGACGGCCCTACAGGGCACAGAAGAGCAAGGAGGAGGGAGGGGCAGTTCTCGCTGGCAGGGACCAGGGGGTCTGGGGTGCCAGGGTCGTGTCAGGAAAGGCTTCGCAGTTCTGAGTTGCGAAAGCCCTCCAGAGCTAAGGCTTGAGTCATACCCACCTCCTTCCTGGTGATGCCCCAGCCTGATTCCCAGAGGCCTTAGAGGACCATCCTGATGCTTTCCAGTCATTCATTCATTCAGCCCCCATTACATGCTGTTCTGTGCTCGATGCTGGAGATGGTGGTAATCAAGAGAGATGCGGTCCCAACCTCCTGCAACTCCTGTTCCAGAGGGGAAGCAGGAAAATTAGCAAGTTAAGAATCAAATAATTACATAATCACAAATTTTCATGAGGGCTATGAAGTAAATGCATTGGGGCAATGATTTCTTTTTTCCAAGTTTATTTATCTATTTTTTAGAGAGAGTGTGTATGCACGCATGCATGTGTGAGCAGGAAACAGCAGAGAGGGGGAGAAAGAGAGGGGGGAAGAGAGAGAGAGAGAAAGAGAGAGAGAATCCCAAGCAGGCTCCGTGCTGCCAGTGCAGAGTCCGACGGAGGCCCGATCCCATGACCCTAAGATCATGACCTGAGCTGAAATCAAGTGTTAGATGCTCAGCCAACCGAGCCACCCAGGTGGGGCAAGGATATAAAAAACAAAACAAAACAAAACAAAACAGGAGTTGACCTCTCCTTCAGTCATCTAAAACTTAGTGGCTTAAAATAATAACTATTTTATTATCCCTCAAAATTCGGAGGGCTCAGCTGGGTGGTTGTTCTGCTCCACAGGATGACGGCTGGGGATGCAATCATCTGAGGGCTTGATTGGGCTGGGATGAACAAACGGGCTCACGCACAATGCTGCTGTGGATGCTGACTGTTGGCTCAGAGCTCAGGGAAGCCGTTGACCCGAACCCCTCATCTCTGCCCCCTGCGGCCCCTCCAGGTGTCTTGGGCCTCTCCCAGCATGGCAGCTGGATTCCAAGTGGCAGAAACTGGAAGCTGCTCCCCATCTGAGGGCCTAGACTCAGAAGCCTCAGCAGGTCCCTCTGCTATATTCTGGTGATCAGAGCGGGGCCACCTGGGTGGCTCAGTCGATTCGGCGTCAGACTTCAACTCAGGTCATGATCTGCATATCATGAGTTCAAGCCCCATGTGGGGCTCCGTGCTGGCAGCTCAGAGCCTGGAGCTGCTTTGGATTCTGGGTCTCCCTCTCTCTCTGCCCCTCCCCCACTCATGCTCTGTCTCTCCCCATCTCTCAAAAATGAATAAACATGTTTAAAAAAATTTTAACAAAACAAAAAGCGAATCCTCAAGGTTAGTTCCAGGGGGAGGAGAAACTGAGTCCACCTCCTGATGGGATTAGTAGAAGGCAGCTGAGAGGTGAAGAAACATTAGGCACCATCTTTGAAGGTTAGATACTGCAAACCACTCCCCCCCCTTTTTTTTTAATTTTGAAAGCAGTGCTTTCATTTTTTTTTTTAATTTTACTTAAATCCAAGTTAGTTAACATATAGTGTAATTGTGGTTTCAGAAACCGCAACCCCTTTAAATAGAGCGGTCAGTGAAGGCCTCTCACTGATACTTTCAGCTGAAATTTGCAGCATAAGGAGGGTGAGCCCGGCAAACACAGGGGATGGGAGAAGAGGGAACGTCCCAAGCAGAGGGAACAGAATGTGCAAAGCTCCTTTCACAGAAATTCACAGAAAAGAATTTGGCCTGTGAGTAGACCTAAAAGATGACCCAGATGGCTATCTCTGATAAACAAGGGACAAGTGACATGAGATGAGTGGGAAGAGGTGGGCAGGGGTCAGTCCCCGGGGGACAGGACTTTGGATTTTATGCTAGTGCGAGGAGAGCTGCTGACCCACACATGCCAGGGAAAATCACCACTGAGCTTTCTGTGCAAAATTTACCATGCCAGAGCCAGGGCGAATAGAAGTAAGGTATGTCCCGTCAGAATGGCTAAAATGAACAGGTCAGGCAATGACAGATGCTGGTGAGGATGCGAAGAAAGAGGATCCGTTCTGCACTGCTGGTGGGAATGCAAGCTGGTGCAGCCACTCTGGAAAACAGTATGGAGGTGACTCAAAAAACTAAAAAGACAACTACCCTGCGACCCAGCAATTGCACTACTAGGCATTTATCCAAGGAATACAGGTGTGCTGTTCTGAAGGGACACATGCACCCCAATGTTTATAGCAGCACTATCAACGACAGCCCAAGTATGGAAAGGGCCCGAATGTCCATCGATGGATGAATGGATAAAGAAGATGTGGTACATAGATACAATGGAGTATTACTCGGCAATCAAAAAGAAGGAAATCTTGCATTTACAACAACATGGATAGAACTAGTGGGTATTATGCTAAGCAAAATTAGTTACTCAGAGAAAGACAAATATCATAGGACTTCGCTTATATGTGGAATTTAAGATACAAATGTTCCCTTATGTTTATAAGGGAAGGGAAGCAAAAATACTATAAAAACAGGGAGAGGGACAAAACAAAAGAGACTCTTAGATATAGAGAACGCACTGAGGGCTGCTGGAGTGGTTGTGGGTGGGAGGATGGGCTAAATGGCAAGGGGCACTAAGGAGGACACTTGTTGGGATGAGCACTGGGTGTTATATGTAGGGGATGAATCACCGGAATCCACTCCTGAAGTCATTATTGCACTATATGCTAACTAACTTGGATGTGAATTTTAAACATCTCTGAATGAAAAATAAATTTAAAAAAAAAGAAGGTATGTCCCTTTCCTAAAGCTCATAGTTTTACTTGAATTATGTACTTGGGATTTGCAATCTGCCCTTTTCCATTCAGTTAAGCTCTATTTACACAGCTCCTTCTATGAGTGGAACAGCTTTTAGTAAAAAACCCATAAGTAAAGACAATATTAAAGGTAGAAAATGAAAACCCTGGAAGGGAGAAAGAAGCAGTATGACAAAAAGTACAAGCTTCCTGGCAAGCAAGGCAAGAAGGGAAACACCGTCAATTCTGTAGCTTTCATGGTCCAAGTCAACATTTCAGTTGCTAGAGAGAAGAAAAAATGTTTCTCGATCTCACGCTCTCTGAAGAAGAGAGAAAACACGCATGAAATAATAATTAACAACTCGAGGCTACAAGTAGAGAACTCCAGGGGAGCCTGGGTGGCTCAGTCGGTTGACTCTTGATTTCGGCTCAGGCCATGATCCCAGGGTCGTGGGATAGAGCCCCATGTCAGGCTCCTTGCTGAGTGTGGATTCTGCTTAAGATTCTCTCTCTCTCTCTCTCTCTCTCTCTC